TTCACTATTCCCCATTGACGGGGATTGTCAATGGGGAATAGTGGAATAAGCCTTTTCTTGCCCCCCCCCTCAGCTCGGGGGGCCACTCTGCAGTTACGCCACCGTTGGCAAGATCGAGTGAAGGGTGAGAATAGGAAAGCACGCACCTCGACGAGGCGCGCGTACTGCGTGTTGTTGAGCCCCAGCCCGCCCAGCTCGCCCGGCACCTGCAGCCCGAAGGCGCCCAGCTCCCACAGCCCGGCCAGCGTGTGCTCCTCGATCTGCGAGTCCGCGTCATTCTTGGCGGGGTCGTTCACCTGCCGGACACCCGATATATTATGCTCCTGCTGTTCTTGTATCACCATTTATCATGATTTTGAATACCGTTAGCTTGACATTGCTAAATTATTAATTTATTTATTCCTATCAATTAAACAATATTATTGTATGCCAAACAGGCTAAACATAGTGAGACTATCACAACATTCTCTAAGGAACACCCCCTGTCTCATGAGAAAAAAACAGAACCCTAAAGGCACAATGGAAAGCGATTCAGAGCGAAGCGGCCGTTTAAGCCGCAAAAACATGTCACGAGAATGAGTTAACAGTGCATATAAAAGGGCTCCATTGACATTCTTATTTACATAACTACAAGTCGTACGGAACCATCGGTGTGCCAGTCCAACTCAGTAAAATACACTCGCGAGCAAAAATATGGAATCACCCTATTTATTCCGAGCGATCATAAGAACTAAATGACTAATAGAAGATCAATAAAAATGGCACCATTTTAAAGGTGATATTATAAACTTTAAATTGATACCATAGATACATAATAATACATAGTCATTCACTTCTTAAGACCGATGATTCCATACTTCTGCTCGTAAGTATAGTTTTTTTTTCTATTTTATATCTGCAATCGACTTCATAATCAGATAAAAAAGTAAAATAGGTAATAACCAAATTCATGAAGCTTGGCACAGCATTACCTCCTGGAAGAACTTCTCGACGGGCGGCACGAGCTCCTGCAGCGTCTGGCGCTGGTCGTCGGACAGCGGCTCGGGGTAGGGGAACACCTGCGCGGGCTCGAAGCGGCCGCGGAACAGGTTCAGCGTGAACGACGTGCTCTCGCGCGCCGCCTGCGACGCCCGCCCGCGCGCGCTGCACAACACCAGGCTTGCATCATTTCAATCACGATTTTTATTGCATGATTTTTTTAAATAAAATTAAAAAAAAAAATTCCAGACTGAAGAGACATAGCATTCAAAACCTAGCGAAAAGATTCGCAGTGAAAGAATAAGAGATGACTCACTGGACTAGTCTCTTACTGAACGCCTCAAGAACCGGATTGGAATCAGACAGATAATTGGATTATTGTTTCGCGGAAACAGATTGCCAAGTAGCAGTAGAAAAGGAAAATAAAATCACTGATTTAAATCAATATCCGATAATTAACTTTTTAAAAAAATAAAACCGACTTCAAATGCGTGAACACAAAAAAAACTAAATATTGCGTATAAAAAAGTTCATCCCCAATTTTCCACCCTTGGGGGTGAAATATTTTCTTCAAATTCGCATGAAACCACCCTTTTGATAATACCTATTCAACAAAAAAATAATCGTTCAAATTGGTTTATAATCGGCGGAGATATTGCGTATAAAAAAGTTCATCCCCAATTTTCCACCCTTGGGGGTTGTTTTTTCTATTATTAAATTTAAATGGGACCACCCTTGAGGTATTACCTATACGCCGAAAAAAGATTTGTTCAAATCGGTTCATAATTGGCGGAGTTATCGCGTAACAAACATAGAAAAAAAAAAAACATACGGGTCGAATTGAGAACCTCCTCCTTTTTTGAAGTCGGTTGAAAATGGAATTAATGTAACGCCGGGAGTGCATATTAATCGACTATAATGTTCGAAAACAATGTTAATATTAGGTGTTCAAGTATGAAATAGCCGTTTAAAAAAACCAGTAAAAAAAAATTTTTCCATAAAGATTTTTAGGGTTCCGTAGTCCTGACAAGGAACCCTTATAGTTTCGATATGTCTGTCTGTCTGTCCGAGGTTTTGCTTGGAAACTATTGGCACTCGAGCTGTAATTTTGTTGAGGTATGTATATTAATCACGCCGACAAAACGGTAAAATAAAATTTTGAAAAAAAAAAAATCTTTAGGGTAGCTCCTATAGTCATGTAAAGTGGGGATGTTTTTTTTTCATCTTCTACCCCATCGTGTGGGATATCGTTGGATAGGTCTTTTAAAATGGATTAGTAAGACTATTTTTCGATTTAGGGATAAGTTTGCAAATTATTAAAGTGCCAATTTTTGTTCGAGTAGGGCGTCCCCCCCCCACCCCCTCTAAAAACTAAACTGTTAGCTTGTAAAATCTGGAAAAATTCGTAATAATACCGATTTTCATGAAAACTATGACGGTTAAGATACATCAGTTAGTTTAAGAGTAACAGTCATTTAAATCATGTATTATGTAAAAATTAAATTCCTTAGAAGAAAATATTAAAAGTGACTTTAGATGAAGTAATTGCTTGCTACTGAAATAAATTGTGTTAACGACGGACAACTACGGAACCTTACACTGCGCGTGGCACGACACACACTTGGCCAATTTTTGAAAAAATTAAAATTGATACTTGTAATAAGATATTCGTGTTTTTTATAATGACAACGGCCACCACTTAGGACGAGCTGTTTTTGACGAATGTTTTTTTTTTGTTTCAGTAAAAATATGACATAGCTATCACTATATAACTGTTTGACATTTTATAAAATTGACATTGTATTTATTTGACATTTAGAAATTAATGTATAATTTATTACTATTCAATTAATTTTTAGTCTGCAATCTGTATTAATTTTAACTGTGGAAACTTTGCTGATTTCTGTCCTATTTTTTGTGTGATTATTTGTCTGTATATGAAAATTGTTTGTTTCCCTAATATAAATAAATAAATAAATAAATACCTAACCTCGGTTGACCACTATACCTCAGTTGTGCCTAAATAAGCATGTTTTCCGCAAGAAAAACTAAGGCAATGATTGCAAAATCTAATAAATCAATAAAAATAAAAAATGATTTCTTTAATTTAAATAAAAAATCATGATTTTTTCCACCCTGCACAACACACCTCCGTGCCACATCAACCCGCACCGGATTATGCATACGCCGATGCGTTTGCAGTAATCCTCTGATGTTGGTGTTATTTTTTTTGTTTTTATAAAGGCTATTATATCAATCATCAAATTACTTTTAACTGAAGAATAAAATTGGGTCAGAGGGAAAGGTTAGTTGGCCTATTTCTGTATGAGAAATATGATGAAATGTCAATTTTATTCTTGAGATAAAAGATATTCAATGGTTGAAAAATGAGGCCTATTAGGCAATTCAAAGATAAAATTGAGTAAAATAATAATAATAATAAATAAAATGTTTATTGCCAGTAAAACCAAATACATAAAGTCCTTATATTTAGCGGATACCGCACTAAGCAAAGCTTGTGTTGCAAATCTGATAAAAATGACTGTTGAAACTAAACCTGTGCCATTTAAAAGAGCCTTGCCTTCTTGGAGCAATAGTATCATTTTTATCTGTCTTTTGTTTGTTTATGTAATGTGTGAATTGTTTTGAATGCAAAAAAATTGAGATTGAATGAAATAAACTCATTTATTTAGATATGAAATAATGTAAAATAGAAATCTATTATGTAAGTAATTGTTAAAATGCAAATTTGGGACAAGAAGAATAATGATACTTCCTCCAATTGATAAATCTAATACGATAAAAACACATTGAAGGTTGTGGTACAAAGTCCAAGGAGAGCGTCGAAAGGGCACTTGGGCCCACGCCATGGCGCCCGAATTCTGGCGACTGGGGGCTTCTTTGGCTCACCTGTATAACGGCACCAGCTTTCCAGAGACGCAGCGGCTAGCGCACATAAGGAGTTTGCCACTATTCATCTTCGAGGATTATAAAACTTTCGAACAATACAATAACTATAAATATTATTATACAATTCAATGTTTATTCTACGTCTAGCATTGCATTTTGTAAACTGTTCTCAAAAAATATAGTATTTATTGTTTAATTTTTTATGTATAATATTAAAATTGTTCACGCTTCCCATTCACGACACGAAAAAATACCAAAATGCTTAATGCATACGTCAAAATCAAAATCAGCAAAGAAGTTACCTCCCCCCCCACCACACTTGTTTTTTTTTAATATAGTTTTACGGCTTCGAATCACGTCCAACAGGCAGTTTTTTTTCTTCTTCGTTTTTGATGTTGGCAATACCGTCGAAGCCGACTTGATTTGTGCCATTTTCAAGTTTCAAGTTAGACGAGTTGCAATCCAAAATGGGACCAAGATGGACTGGCATGGGACTTGGGTTAAATAATATAATGAAGGATGATACCCCTTCCCACCCTTTGAGTCTCAGTAAAGTTGTGGTGCTTTTAGTTAGTTTCATCCCGGGTGCCAGCCAACCCATGCTACGCCGCCAGTCCGCCCACTGAGCTCAATGCTAACAACTACCTTCTTCTTTTATTAATATCACGTGCGCAGCTTTTACACAGTGTAGGTATTTTGAGAAATTACGGTATACTAAGCAAAATAGCTCAAACAAAGAGACATCACAAAAAAATAAGACAACACAATCCATACATAAAAATAACACATACAAGATGAACACAAATGGGGAGGTTTAGTTTGGGAAAAGTTTACTGCTAACTCTTGCTTGTAACAAATTAATTTTGTTAATTTTAATGAATTTAACTAGAGATTTATAAATATGGGGATTAGTAAAGTTAACAACTTTAGACAAGTTGCACTTTTTGATCGAATTGAAAATCGATAGACTTTTTTCGAGGTATTGTTTTATAATACGGTTAAAATCTTAAATTAAAATCGGCTGAAAGTCGACGTGAATTGCCAACATCAAAAAAGTTAAGTTTTGTGTGACAGCTGATGCTGTCATCATCATTGACTGACGCTGTCATGTTCATAACTGCTGTCATTGTCATCTGTGTGCTTGCAGCAGTGAGTGAAAAGAAAAGAAACAGTCGGCATCATGTGTTAGTGTAGATTTAGGCATTTGTCTTGTTTAGATTTATTTTACTATCTAGTTGTTACTTTTGGTAAACTTTAACTTTATTTTGGAATTGTTTAATACATTTTAAGCATGTTTGGTTTGTTTATGTACATTTTTGAGGTAAAAAAAGAAGTTTTGGTGGGCCTATCACTATCCGTAATATACCTAACCTACTATCTAGTGGAAGCTGTCAAGGTAAAATGAATTATCTTATCGAATAGGTACCTACTATACATGATTCAGACAAGTGACTTATAGTGTTAAAATACAATAAATTATTGATTTTTATCATTCAAATGTTTAGGCCCTAATCAAGGCCAGCTTTTGTAGTAGATACCTACCTACTAGACTTTCAAGATGAGAATAACCCATTGGTGACTAAACATTTACCTATTTGGATCGGGAACAACACTTGCAAGAACAGGAAGTTCTTATTTTGGATCTCACTACATGTGGGTCCACTAATAAGGAAAAACATCGTGATAACTATCAAGTTAGGTTGAGTGTCCCACTTGGCTAGATGCATGTCAAAATTACATACTTCCATTTGTTCATCTATGGTCATAATACATATATGGTATGTCTTGATAACATACTACAATTATTGTTATTAACTACATTAAGTTTCATTAACTTGTATTTTAATGTTGCATAGTGCATACTTTCATCTATGATTAGTAGAAATGGAAAAGTATGCCTGCCTTAAACAAATCTTTACATAAGAGTTATAATTATGTGCCATTTTTATGTTAAACATATGATATCTATTATCCATTACACTTGAATTATTTATACAGATTTGGTTGTTTACATACTTTGTACCTTTAATATCCTTTATATTAAAACAGTTAAAAATATTCAGATATTAATAAGTTTAAGTAGAAAAGTTTCATTGAAGATGCTGGTTCCAAAAATACAGAATTAACCATGGAATTAACATGCTGATTTTATTTCCAGAAACCTATACTGATATGCCGAAAAGGTGAATTTCGTGAATTCCTAGAAGAGAATGTGCCGTTATTGAACGAGCATTACTGGCCCACACCCTGGTGTCTGGAGTCACGCTTGCAGACAGTCATCGGGTCCGTGCTACGTACTCGACTGCTGCCTGCAGTCAAATATCGCCGGTAGCTCTCAAACTACATTTTGTACAGAAAAGCTATACTAATTAATTAGGGATTGATGGTGAAAACGGGCACTAGTCCCTTTTCAGCCCCAGTTGATTTTAGATTGCTCAAAATTTCACTCAAAATTGACCATTGAACTTGGCACCCATTTAGATCTCATTTTTTTGTTGTTGAAGTCAACAACCAAGGCATGTATCATAATATTGAACTTGGCTCTCATTTCACATTTATGTTTTTGATGGGACACAAATTATCATAATTAATCACTTTTTTTTTAAATGATATTGTTTCTTTGGGAAAGTTGTTGCATTCGAGCAGTAGAATCAATCCTTTTTGTTTGATCCATACTTAACCTTTTCAAAACCAATGACGGATACATGCGTACATCAGGTTGACCGTCAACGACGGATTAATCCGCCTTAAAAATGAATGTCATTTTAAATGGCAGCGTCCAGCGCTGACCAGCGCGTGTTGTCGGCGCCGTTCAGTGCTTATCGGCGCGCGTACATATATTTTCCAAGCGCTTATAAGTTTCCGGTTTTCTTTCTGTATACGGCCTACCACACTAAGCTGTATTTACAGAGAAGCTTACATGGAAACGCATTGATGGTGACTGACTTAGTAATTCAGTCAGAGGACAAAAATGGTATTCAAAAGAAGCCGGTTTAATTACCACTCATTTAAATATGAAACCTAGGTACCTAGTTGAGTTGTTTTTGTAATATTTTTTTATTTGTTTTTACTTTTTAAATAGTATTCCGTACACAAGATGATTCGTCACCTGCAGGGAGATACTGCAGCTGTCGGACGGCGGACAAGTGGCGCTGGACTGGGCGGAGGGCGCGGAGGGTGCGGCGGGCGCGGGCGGCGAGGGCGCCGTGCTGCTGGTGCTGCCGGGGCTGACGGGCGACTCGCGCGCCGACTACGTGCGCTGCCTGGCCGCCGCCGCCGCCGCGCTGGGCGCGCGCTGCGTCGTGTTCAACAACCGCGGGCTCGGCGGCCTGCCGCTCACGGTCAGTGGCCCCGCCCCGCTCCGAGCGAGACGAACTGTGGTAGACGGTAGCTCGTCTCATTGAGGGAACTCGGTGGGCGTTGTGGGAGCGTTGGGTTAATAATTTAATGAGGGCTATCGTTTTTATACTTAACAGTTGGCACCCCTGGCGATTGACAGGACCTTACTCTACAGTGGCGCCATCTTGATGAGTGCAATTGCGATAGTCCTCCTACCACTTTAGCGCTCACCAGTTGGTGCCACTGTCTTCGCTACTAGCAAGTGACAGGACCTTACTCTACAGTGGCGCTAACTGGTGAGCGCTAAAACGATAGCCCTCATTATTAGCTTGTCTCTGTGTTCTTCCTTCTTTGAGCACTTCTGTGACGCTCGTGAGAGTCGTCCGCCTGCCGTTGAAGATACGGCTCGACGACACCGCCACTCGGTGTCACCGACTCACCGTCACATAGGATTCGTAATAACGATGCGTATCTGTATGAAACCGATCCGTCTGTGAATGTTTGTCCGGCGCGCAGACGCCGCGGCTGTACTGCGCCGTGAGCCACGCGGACCTGGCGGAGGTGGTGGCGGCGGTGCGCGGGCGCGGGCCGCTGCTGTGCGCCGGCGTGTCGCTGGGCGGCCTCATCCTGGGCCACTACCTGGCCGAGCACGGCGAGCGCTCCGGCGTGGACGCCGCGCTCGTGGTGTCGTCGCCGCTCGACGTCGTCAAAGGTGAGTGCGGCGCGGCCGCGACGGGAGGGGCGGCGCTGTGCAGCGGCTGAGTGCTGACTAGTGATGTACAAGACTCGAGGCGTCGAGTCCTATTTTTGAAGCCTCGAGGCTTTAACCCTAGAGTAGTCGCGCCTTTCCGTGAAACGTGAGTGCTCGCGTATGAGCATTTTGCCGCCCAAACTTACAAGTCCGGTTGTGTGTCAAATAACAGTTTAAAAATATGAAAATCAGTTAAAACTGATAGAATAAAGCATACACTATTAGAAAATAACGTTCATTAAAGATTTGTGGCTAAAACTTAAAGAAAAAAACATATTTTGAAAATGTTAGGAAATATTTATAGAAATCATAGAAAAAACATTGTTTTACCATCATACATCATCAAATATTAAACTTATTAGCACACTTAAAGGTTTTCTTCATCTATGACATGTGCTTCAACAAAACAGGCCTGTCACATGTGCATTTAATGTGCGTTGCACAGTAAATTTGCACAACTACTGCACCCTTGGCACATCATTTTCAGATTCTGCCGCTGATTGTTCTATAACAGTATTGTAATGACTATGTTTACTTTATTTACAACTTTAGTATACATTTTCTACTAATTTTAGTGCACCAGCTTCTTCGAAATCCGACATCTTCCTTGTTTTTTCATTTTTTTGTATTTTACGTGAATTTTACCGAAAACGACATGAAATAAATTAAGCACTAATGGTAATTATCAATTTTATGACGTCATTAATGTCAAAACAACATTATACGCAATGAAAACTAATAATCTTCCAACAACACTAAAAACCAAACACACAAATTTAACTTACGTCAGTAGTCGCGCAGTGAGCAATTTGCCGCAAAACGTGACATACGTTCAACAATCGTTCTCTATTGCGGTCACCTGCGCACTAAACTTCTTCTAATTTCTAATACATGGAGGTGAAGTATGGGGAGGCAGCTACTGAAACGCTTGACTTTGACAAACGCATCATGTAGAAAATAACTCGATTTTTTTGCCGAGGGCGGCAAAATGCTCATAGCGCGAGCACTCTAGGGTTAAAAGAGCTCGAGCCTTCAAAAAGGCTCGAGCTCAGCGAAAGACTCCAAGCTTAATACAAACGAGGCGAGCCCCGAAAAAGGCTCGAACTCTAAAAAAGACTTCCGAGTCGTCGCCCTTCATACAAACGAGGCGAGCCCTGTTAACGACTCGTGAGCTCTCGGCAAAAGTACTCGGAAGCCTCGAGCCTTGTACATTACTAAAGCCTGGTCCGTGAGCACGTAGAATTTTGTCCAATGACCCCAAGCTACCCATCCTTATCGCTCGCGTGTAATTATGTTGCTGTTGCGCTCGCACACTCACTGCGGGCGCCCGTCGCACAGTCGTGACAGCAATATAATTACGCGCGAGCGATAAGGATGGGTAGCTTGGGGTCATTGGACAAAATTGTACGTGCTCACGGAGCAGGCTTCAGTGCTGACGCGTGTGGTCCGCAGGCTCGGAGTGCATCGAGCGGCCGCCGCTGAACGCGCTGCTGTCGTACCACATGGCGCGCAACCTGCGCAACACGCTGCGCGCGCACGCGCCGCTGCGCGCCGGCCCGTGGGACTGGGCCGCGGTGCAGCGCAGCCGCTCCGTGCGCGAGTTCGACGCCGCCTTCACCACCAAGCACTTCGGCTTCGGATCGGTGAGCGTTGTTTGCGCCCGCACTTAGTCTTGTGCTTTGTTCGTTTTTATACTGGTAGGGCGAGCTTTATACCTGTTTGGGATACTAACAAACAAATTAATTTTATTATTAACAAGAATCGATTTGAAGAGTAAAAAATCTCGTTGATATTTTATTTTACACTTTATATTTTTTCATATTTTATTCTAAACATAGCACTATAAATATTCAAATGAGTATTTAACTTATTTAACATACTTATGTTATTTCATTAAATTAAGTATATTATTATCCGGAACTTAAAAGTTGTTGAAGTTATCACGAACGCAACAAGTCGATAGCGACTGATGGAATCCGTGTTTGTTTTTGTTTACTTGACAGGTGGAAGCGTACTACCGCGCGGCGACACTGCGCGATAAGTTGTCGAAAGTCCGTGTGCCTCTGTTGTGCCTATGTGCTGCTGATGACCCTTTCCAGCCACTCGATGGTGAGTTCAGTAAAATTATAACAAGGAAAGTAATATTAAGTAATCATTTTTATATGCTTTTACACCTAAGATGATTCCTGTGACCATCAATCCCTTATTTTTATGTGACCCTTGGTAACAAATAACAGGAATTTTGTTTACATATAGGAATCACTTAAAAATGGGATTGATGGTGAAAACGGGCATAAGAGTAGTAGTAAGTTTAACTCATGTGTTATAAAATTTCTTACCTAATAAAAATTCCTTAGAAGAAAATATTAAAAGTGACTTTAGATGAAGAAATTGCTTGCTTCTGAAATATATTGTGGCAACGACGAACAACTACGGTATCCTACACTGGCGTACTCGCAGGCGCGTGGCGGCCCCGCCCGACTGATTTGCAACTCGGAGTTGTCGCGCGCTGTAGGTAATTATCCTTTGTCTCGGCCGGCATAGGCGAGTGACGGAGGCCTGCTTTAGCTTCGTACTTTTCTATTTTGTGACGGCGCGCGGTGTGTCATGTCCAAGAATATTTTACTATAGTCATTTTCATCGTCAATTTCTTTTACCAGCGATTCCCGTTCGCGAAGCCGAAGAGAGTCCGAGCGTGGCCCTGCTGGTGACGGCTCGAGGCGGGCACATCGGCTTCCTCGAGGGCTGGTGGCCCACCAGCGCGCCGCCCAGCCACCACTACATCGCGCGCCTGGCGCAGCAGTACTTCGCGGCGCTGCTGCGGCGCCCCGGCCGCGACCCCGCCCTCTCCTAGGGAGCGCCGCAATACGCATTCTTGTGCAACCGTATCGGAATGCCGTTTATGAGGATGTGCTCCGAATGAGGGCTATCGTTTTTATACTTAACAGTTGGCACCCCTGGCGATAGACTGGACCTTACTCTACAGTGGCGCCATCTTGATGAGTGCAAATGCGATAGTCCTCCTACCACTTTAGCGCTCACCAGTTGGTGCCACTGTGCTAACTGGTGAGCGCTAAAACAATAGCCCTCATTCCTCTTCGGAGCAACTCCTCGTCATCGCTGTACACTTGGAATTCCGCGCCCCTGACTCGTTCATACAAAGTATTTTAGAAATATTGAGGGCCTACCGCTGTGAGCGACGATTTCTATTTAATGCATCTGTTGATAAGACCATACTGAGAGCTGATTGCGGACCGGACGCAATATAAATGAATTAAGGGCGTAGTTTATCCATTGCGAACAACAATAATATTGTGATATCATAGTTTAAGGGTTTGAAGTTCGAGACTTCGTCTCTTGGGTGTAAGTTGCGTACGCTGTTAAAGAAACGATCCTGTACAAATAATGTTGGTGAATAATCAAATCCAGCAGTAATTTGATTATGCCTCTCGGTTCTTGAATATTTCATGGTTTAGTGTATTCTGGAATTTGAGGAGAATACACCCTTCTTTCAAAGATTTGTTGTTTTCACACAAACACTTTTTGTCAGTAGCTGAGATGCATAATTAAAGCATTCGTTTTTAGACGGTAGTCGGTAACTTTTAAGTAAGCTTAAAATGATTCCATAGTTTATCATAAAAATAAAATTCGATACTTCGACATGATGCCATACAATAAGTTGCTGATACCGTCCATGGCAAAACTTAATGATAATAATTAAATAAAAAGAGTTAATATTATATGGAATTACGAGCCGCTCTTCTTTTCATCTGTTTAAAATTAAGTACTTTTACGCCCATATTCACAAACATTACTATGAGGTCTCACGGGGCGCGTAGACAGGGTGGCACATGAACCAATCGCAGAGCCCTATTCAACTCTGTGCGTTCGATTTGCTGCTTTACTTAAGCATCATCGTTTGTGAATACGGGCGTTAAATTAGCGTTATGAATCACGCACAGGGAACGAAGGAATCGAGTGAGAGTATTATATTTACATAAAAATAGTTTTAGTTAGGAATATTGGTGCATTTCAAATGTTTATACAAGTTTAAGCTAATTTTATACTCGTTAAATATTAAAAAAAAAATAAGACGAGATTCATACAGCGTTTATTATAAATAACGAAATAAATAGTTAATTCAGAACCATTCGATAGTAATGGAACAACAATCGCTACTCGAGCTATCGTAAGTTCTGAATCTCGAGTAGGTATGAACGAAATAAATCTGAATAAAAGTTCATTGACCCCGCAATAATTTCACTACTTGTCACGTGTCATTTTATGACATTCGCCCCGGCTTGCGACTTGGTCGCCATTTTGTTTTATGCCAAACATAGGTAATTCGGATTTTTTCACTTCACTGTCGGTTGATTTATTATAGTCTTTTTCACCTGATTCCTATGATATAGTCAAATTTTGGCGAATTTTCCGTACGACGCTTAACTCCGCAAATATTTTGAAAAATCCTTGACTTTATTGTAAATATCATGAAAATTTAAACTACCTCTTAAAATAAGTAGCAAAATCAGTGTTTATTAATTACCTAAATTTTAATTATTGAATATAATAGAAAAATAATTTTAATTAATAAAGTATGAAATGTGTTAAACGAAACAATAGTGATGGTTAACATTGTCAGCTTAAAAATTACATAAAGATGCACTTTAAACAGTCACGCACCGGTTACATGTAGGTACACTATTAAGCAAACGCCGATGGTAGTACAATTTCATCTGAAACAGACGATTAACAAAGAAACAATATTTTGGTTTATAAATTTTATTTTACCACATAAATATCACATTTAATACTTTTAACCATTCCATAGTCCTGACAAGGAACCTTTACACTTGTTTCGTCATGCCCGTGTGTCTCTTAGAAAAAATCAATTTTTCTATATCGACTTCCACCACTGAGCTTTTCATTAATGCTTTTCATCAAAGTCAATGACCTTTTATTTAGCGATATCTTTTTACTTTTAAATATTTTTGTGCTTCTAACAGGAATTGAAATTTTTGCCTTTATTTGTAAGAAAATAGGTGAATTTCAATACTTTTGGTGCATGGAGACTATTACACAGCGCCGCTCGAGAACATTATGGAGTAGTTATTATAAACTGTACGGCTAGCACGAAAAACTTTCGAGTTCGAATCGTTTGCGTATTCGAATTGCCATCAAAAGATTTAGTTCAAAAACTACAACAGCGCCCTTGTGAACGTGTCGTAAAGTGAACTTAGTATGAAAAATGGTGGCACGGAACTTATATTGAGCATCAAAATTGTCACGTTATCTTTTAATTAGAAGGTTGTGTATCGAATTTTGTTGAATACGCAAACGATTCGAAGACGAAAGTTGTTCATGCTATAGTCTGGTTGCCGAGCACGTAGAATTTTGCCAATGACCCCAAGATACCCATCCTTAGGGTCATTGGACAAAATTTTACGTGCTCAGAGACAGGGCTTTAGAGGTAGGTACTGCTGTTGTTTGTTAAATGTTTTTTAAAATGACAAATTTTATGTAAATTGTTGAGTTTATATTATATTTATATAATTTTAAAATGAATTTATGTATTAACATTTTTTGTGTCCTTGAATGTTTCGCCGATGAAATGTGTGGAATGTGGATATTATTAGATACAAACAAGTGAATATCTTGAAGGATTAACATGATTTGAAAAAAAAAAAACGAAATCCTCGATTGATTCGGGAGTCGGGACCCACAAGTATTTTAATAAGTATGTATGGTTACATATTTTGTAAGTTTTTTTTACGTATTTTAACAGAATGGATTCTGTAACCTAACCTTTAAAATAAGCTAACAAAGACATCGCCTGGATTGTATTTGGAAATAATAATAATACTTTCAAAGTAATATTTTAGGCCTTTGGATGTCAAATTTATCAAGATTTAACAAGTGTTAACTAAATCTACACAATTATTAGTGCCTTTATTTGATATCAATTCTGTAAATAAACTTCACATATCATACTTACCTACATAATTGCCTAAACGCTTTTATGGAGAACTTTAAGACCGTGTCAATTAAAGGAATCTCGGCTCCATTGCACATATTTTTCTTAAATCATGATCGTAATAAATAAACAAATTTAAAGGTACATATCACATTTATATGAGTGCTGTGCATGTGGATCCATCTCATGTTTACATGAAGCCTAACATCCATTATAGGGAATCGAATATCAAGTCGAATTAAAATAATTTAATCTTGATAACATCCATTAATTCGGTATCGGGAACCCGAACTAACCACCATGTCTGAGGGCAAAGCGATGTGATCATGTGATCCATGAATAGGTTTGTATGGTTGTAAGTGCTTAGCACAAATGCTTCATCATACGCGCTCTCAAAACCACGCTGAAATTTCGAGCTTACACGTAGGATAACTTCTCTTTAGCAAAAGCTTTAGAATTTAGTTTAAAATATAAAAGGTCGAAGTTACCCGAATCTTAAGTTTGTTGATATAACGCTGAGTTTGTCTTTATCAACAGGCAGTTCTGTGGTATTATGTTAGTGAATGCTCCAAAGCAAACTACTGATGTTTGGAACATTCAGTGCCGACATGCCTCTTATACATGTAATCTAACACAATAAAACGATGATTTTAGTTTTTGTGTTTTATTTGTTGCACGATTAATTGCTGTCTATGTGTGTGATATTTAATTAGGTACTGTTAGAAGGCCAGTAGATCTATTCTCATAAATAAAACACTGGATATTTAACTTGTACATACATATACATATTGCCTCATTTACAATACAAATAATCACTATAAAAGCGCACGGAGCTCTATTATGACCATTCTCTATAAATCGGTGATTCTGACGTTTCTAGGGTGATATTGAGACATTACTTATGTAAATGTCACTGTGACAGCAGCTCATTGGCTGTAATGTAACGATACCGGTATTAAAACATTAAGAACTTAAGAGATTAAAAAATATTTATTTAAGCTTTATAGGCAAAACCGTTTGTATATTAAGCCCACTCCACTGTTTGTATATTAAGCTAATATACAGAGAATTCACTCACTACAAGTGGTTAATCAAATATCTGGGCACGTAATAAACACCTGCGGTAGTCAATCAATATCAATATAAGAATCACAATCGACTCACGGAATAAGAGAGTTGTATAAAATGACATAACTAACGTCAGTCCAACGGAGTGCCGAGGGCGCGACAGAAGGCCGCGACCAAGTTCTCGGCGCGCGCCAGGCGCTCGGCACGGTCGGCGGGCAGCGCGCGCGCCGCCGCCGCCGCGCCCGGCAGCGCCGCCAACGCCGCCGCGAACGCGTCCTCCGCGCCCGGGCCCGCGCACCACTCCGACCACTCGTCGTCCGACTCCGCCGACTCCGACTCCGCCGCCGAAGGGAGGTCGGGCTCGCGAGAATCTGTCATGAAAATTAAATGCCCATAATCGAAATCGCATCCAGGCACCTCCCGCGACCTTCACCAGATCGTCGGTCCACCTAGTGCGAGGCGAGGGGCGCAGGACCGGTCTTTGTGGAAATCCTTGGGGGAGGCCTTTGTCCAGCAGTGGCCGTCTTTCGGCTGAAACGAACGAATCGAAATCGGTTCCATGGTTTACCTAAGCATGATGAAAGTATTTAGATTAGATACTTTAGCTTGTAAATAAGTATGTACACCAATTGTAAACGCATTATCCACAGAAAAAAATTACAAACGAAAGTGGAATTTTTAGCGAATATTTTCCGTGCGACCTCAATACTGTGGTTCTTCTTTTTCTTATTCGTTACGCTCCTGGCAGAGCGGTCGTGGTCACGTTGAGCCGCATCTCTCTCTATTGGCAGACTGCAATACGTTTACACTGCGGCGCCCATCGAGCTATATCATGTTGGATAGCCTACTCAAGGAAGACACGTAAAGCAGTGGCGGCGTAGCATGGGTTGGCACCCGGGGCGGATTACACATTATACATATTGTACAAATTACAGTATGAGCTACCAGAAATACTACATCAGCTTAAAAAAATATCCAATTTTAAAATAGATTTGCCAATACCTAAAGAACAATAAGAAATGCATCCAGTCGGCACACGCATTAAATCAGTCGTCTCAACCACAATCTCAACCTGCCTGTGTCAATAATTCGGCAGGCAGTCATGTCGTACTATCCGTTCGCGATAAGTTTGCCGCTGGCGATATGACGTCACTCGAAGGAAAGCGTCTATAATCATAGCAAACTGTATTGAAAATGTTTTTTGTTTATCAATATTGAGAAAAAATATGTATTTGCGTAAAATAAGACACTTAATTGCGTTTAATCTCGGTTGGGGGACACGCGCATTCCACGGACCGGCAAACTTAGCGCGAACGGGTAGTACGATCGCACGCGCCCACACACTCACCGGCGGGCTGGCGGGGCGTGCGCACGAGGCCGGGCCACACGTGCGCGTGGAAGGCGGCGCGCACGCGCGGCAGGCCGGCGTCGGGCTCGCGCAGCGCCACGAGCTCGAGGCGCGCGGCGGCGGCGGCGCGCGCGAGCCCCGGCGCCGGCTCGGCCGTGTCCGCCGCCGCCACGCGCACCTGCGCCGCGCCCAGCCCGCGCGCCCGCGACCGCATCAGCTCCGATGCGTCGTCGCCTGCACACTGCGAGCGAGCAACGAAAACTCATTATTCAGTAGCTCAGGTGCTAGGGTTAGAAAAATAAATAAGCTTTTAATAATACAGGGTGTTTCGTGTAAGGTGTCTAGCCGAAGGCAGGTGATAGGTGAGGAGGACTAGACCTGTCTGGGGGCACGGTAGTGCCCCCGCTAAGTCGGGTAAAAAAGCAGCACGTCGATTCTACCCCCATGTATGTTCTACGATTTTTCGTAGTTTAGAAGTTATCGTGAAATTTGTGTTTTTTTTTAATTTATGACCTAGTAGTAGGCTTTAAATTTTTTTATCTTTTTTTTGGGTTGACTTTTCTCAGATTTTTTTTGACAGATTCGTTATTAATATTGCAGATGTTTGAAAAAAAAATAATCACTTGCCTATCTTTGATGCAAGATACGAAATAAGTGCATGTGTGCTCTACAAATGTCAGCATGTAAAAACTTAACAAAAATGTCACATAATAAACAAATCAAAAATAATAAGAGGTCTACTACTAATAAAATCTAATAATACATGCTGTACAAAAAAGTCTGTAGGTAGTTAAAAAATTTATTGATGGCAATCAGAATTTAAACAAACACTGCACAGTATTACATTGCTCATTTGCTTTCTTTTCCCATTTCTATAAAGTTGGAGAACGAGTGAATACATGTGTCACTGTTTAACATTAATCAAGCTAAAGTTACCTCGTCTGCAGTCAGATAAATGAGGTGTGCTTCCACAGCATCTGCAAGTTGGGTGTCTAGTTCTTGTCCGTCCAGGATTGTGTGGAACTGCACATCGGCAGTATAGTACTTGTTAACCAGCTTCCATACACGCTTAGCATTATTATCTCCATCGGTTCTATTTTCTGAGTCATCGCCGATAATTTCTTTAACAAAATTTGACAGAAGTCTTAAGTTTTTTTCATATGAATATATACCTACTCTAAAGCAATCAAGACAATGCATTATGTATAAAGTTAACTAATTAAATATAATAAAAAGATTGCATAAGTTAGAAACATCTATTTTGAATAAAAAACATTGGTTGGAGTATAGGAAACGGGGCGCTATGGGGCACGAGACTTGAGATTTTTTTTTATGAAAACATTACCTGATATTATAATATTAGCAGAATTCTGATCCTTTGCACTAACTACTAAAATAGGTAGGCAGTCAAATTTATCTGCCATTTTATTCAGTTTTTAAGTAGTATCTTAATCGTTATCGCACAAAAACATTGTACCTATTATCATTAATAGTGTAATAGAAGAACGACCAAATTATTTTTTTAACAAAGTAAAGAATTTAATACGTTTACTATTTATTTTATATTGAACTGACAGTAGACTGACAGACAAACATTTGTTTTGATGTGTCAAAAGAAGTTTTTTTTTTCATAGAGGTTTTACGGCTTTGGATATAGACCCATACGGCAAAATCTTCTTTTGACTTTTGTCTGAACTCAACACCTATGGCCACAGATATGGATTAGAGCCTATGGCATAATGCCTTTGCCTTTACCTGAAAAAGCAAAACATTAAAAAATATTTAATGAAAAAAGGAAACATTTCTGTCTCATCCATAGAGTAACTTTATATTTTCCCCGTTTCCCCGTTTTACTCGACTCTGGCACGGCGCATACTGCGCGGATTGCCATAAAAAAAAAAAAAAAAAAAAACTTTATATTGGTCTCATCTGTGAATTCTGTGACGAATGGAAAAAAATAAATTACCGACCGACCAAAGAAACTAAACAGAAATTTCGGAATCAGTTTAATTTATTTATCTCTGTAATTCTATTTCATGAAGTGCATGAAATATTCTGTAATGGTGTGAACTTTTGCTGCCTATCAAACTAAAACTGATACCTCAGCTCAGTGTTTTGTAATGTTCGATGCCAAATGAATTGTAAGCCGACAACATGAATAACATAATTTCTTGGTCAGCTGAAGACGAAGCTATCATTGCTACAAACACCGATGCTTCAGAATGTAAGAGATGCGCAGTGGAGCTGGGCTATTGGAAAGATGACTATATTTCGTATTTTGTAAAGCATTGTGACAGGAAGGCCCCGGAGATCAACCGTGGCTATTACGCTAGAGTCCGAGCTATGGAGATGTTTATCCACCAATTTTTAGAGGTTAGTAAATCTACCATGAAAACTAAAAAAATAACAGTGGGAGGAAGGAGAACATAAATATAAAATCTATGAAAGTACCTACAATAGTATAATATATCTTTTGTTTCAGAGGTGTGGTACCAAGTGTCAGATAATCAACCTAGGCTGCGGATTTGACACACTATACTGGCGTCTTAAAGACTCTACTCAGGCAGTTGCTAACTTTATTGAGTTGGATTTTCCTTCAGTCACAGCTAAGAAGTGCCACATTATCAAGCGTAATAAGCAGTTGCTAGAGAAGATATCTAATGAAGGTAAATAATATGTCTATTTATGTATGGCTCTGTGGTCTAGCTAAGAGAGAGTGGGCTGTGCTGAGAGTTCTCATAAATACTCAATTTTTATGGTGTTAAGTGCTAGGCAGTCTAGGATGGTACATATCTAATGGTACATTAATTGCAGATTAAAAGTACCTACCCTACCACATGAAAATTTAATATTTTCTCATTTCTTAACAAATTCAGTGCCACCAACTCACCTAGTCGTAAATCTTATTCCAGTGCAGACAACTAGCCTACCGAGTTGAGTATTTTTCGCTAAAATTAAAAAAATGCGTCCATATTTTCTGCTTAAAACTGTACTAGTGTAGACTAAATATTATAAGCTAAACTAAAGATTTACGTGGTGGGCTAGGTGTGTGTGTCTTACCTGTTACCTGCATGTTTCAGCTACATTTGTAGTCGCTTCTAGCTTGTTGTGGCTGTTGCGTGGTGTGGAAGGTGTGGTTATTCAGTTTCTAAAAAGCAGCTAAGGCCCGGTTTCCACCTAGGCAGAGCAGAGAAATATTATGAAAAACCAATCAGATTTCATTCAGATTTATTGAAATTGACAGAAGAATGAAATCTGATTGTTATTAAATAACTTGATTGTGGTGCATGCTTCCACTAATGTTTGAGTGTTATCTGTACATATCCATGAGTGCACACGCACGTCGCACACTACAATAATTTGACCAATCAGGAAAGAGCGTTAGCGTTGTTTAAAGTGAAAGAAACTGCTTCAATTTTATAATTTTACTAGCTTTCCGCCCGCGGCTTCGCCCGCGTGGAATTTTGTCTGTCACAGAAAAACTTTATCGCGCGCGTCCCTGTTTCAAAAACCGGGATAAAAACTATCCTATGTTCTTTCCCGGGACTCAAACTATCTCTATGCCAAATTTCATCAAAATCGGTTGCGAGGTTTAAGCGGGAAAGCGTAACAGACAGACAGACAGACAGACAGACAGACAGAGTTACTTTCGCATTTATAATATTAGTTGGGATTTTAAAAAAATCTACGCTCTCTCTGCCTTGGTGGAAATAGGGCCGATCGTCGATGGTAAAAGTAGCACGTCCATTGTGGCCCTAAAGATGGTTGAGCGGTCGAGGTCAGGCAAACGGCTAATAACGCGTCCACACGCCCCGCGCAGACGGCGAGGTGATCATCCGCGAGGGCGACCTGCACGCGGACGGCTACCACCTGCTGGGCTGCGACCTGCGCTGCCTGGGCGAGGTGAAGCGCAAGCTGGCGGCGGGCGGCGCGGACGGCGCGCTGCCGGCGCTGCTGCTGGCCGAGTGCGTGCTGGTGTACCTGCGGCCCGACGCCGCCGCCGCGCTGCTGCAGCACCTGGCCGCCGCCTTCCCGCGCGCCGCGCTGCTGGTGTACGAGCAGTGCAACCTGGCCGACAAGTTCGGCGAGGTCATGCTGCGCAACCTGGAGGCTCGCGGCTGCGCGCTGGCCGGCGAGCGCCTGTGCCGCGAGCCCGCCGCGCAGGCCGAGCGCATGCGCGCGCTGGGCTTCGAGCACGCGCGCGCCTGGGACATGCGCGCCGTGTGGCGCGCGCTGCCCGACGACGACCGCGCGCGCGTGGAGCGCCTGGAGCCGCTGGACGAGCAGGAGCTGCTGCAGCAGCTGCACGCGCACTACGCGCTCACCGTGGCCTCGCGCGGCGACATGTTCGCCGACATGGACCTCAACGCGTAGGCGCCGCGCCGACGTCTCCCGGTCGCGTTCGTATTCTTTTAATTGTCATTTTTGATCCGAGATTGAGGTCGGTGGCACTACCGGAGTTACCTCTGCGCCTTCGATGGGCGAATATGGTGACTGTGTGAAATCGTGCATTTCTTTGAAAACACGTTAAAAACTGTTGTAATACACCGTTGGGGAGCCTTTTGTCGGTAGCGATTTTTTAAATATTTTTGATTGCCTAGTGCTATTATGGCCAATATGTTTACCGTCGCCCATCGACACCCGCAGGCCCGGGGGCGTTACAGGTGCGTTGCCGGCCTTTAAGAAGTAAATACTATACTAATATTGTCTTATCATATTTGCCAAGTTTCAAGTTGATACAAGAATTAGAAGTGCGTGTAATTCAGATTCTTAGATAGTGATAGTGTTAATGACAATTCTTGAAATGTTATATTTTTTAACGACATTCTATATTGTTATTTATTTTTTAGCGTTAAGGGTTCGAGTCCCGCTATAGGCAGTTCGATTTTTTCAAGTTATTTATAATTTTCAAACATTCTATAATTTCAAAAATTGGTCAGACTATGTTAGTCATTTCGAGAATCGGTCATTTCTAGACTAAAATGCGGTTTCTCACATGACGCTTGCCGTAAAATCGCTCGTTTGAAAAGGCTCCTATCTTTCACTTTTATCATATTATAGTAGTTATGCTTCTCAGTTGTTTTTTTTTGTTTTGTTTTGGGCAAATTGAGTGATTGCAGTATTAAAGGTCACATGTATTATATTTATTTATGTTGCTATTTTTATTAAACGTAGATGAGGCATCTAGTGTTTATCTTCAACGAGGATTTATTTTATAACAAGTAGACACTGAAATTAATGTGATAAAATTATATTTTTAGATTAATGTCTGAATGTTGCATCTAATCAAGTTTCAAAAGTGAAATAATGTAGTTTATAGCTGTTCAATTCTAAATAATCACTATTTAAAATGAGTAAATATTTTATCTTTATCAAGTCTTTTATTAAACTTATACTTAAATATATACAAACATTAAGAATAGTAGATCCAGATATAATTCTACAATTTAAAAAGTCTTGTAGTAACACCCTTCCCGATCATCTGAAAAACAATGACATTTAGGTTTCATTATCATATTTAAGCAAAGAATCACAACAGGCATTTCTTAGTTCCACCTTTTCAGGCGTATTAGTTAGGTACTATTAATGTTATGTAACTGTGAAAACAAGTATTTTGTAGTACTTATTTACCAATTAAAAATGTTTTGAGATCGGTGGTGTTTGTTGTTGCCTAAGATATTTTTTTTTCTAAATTACTGCTTAGATTTAGCCCTTACTGGGCGTTAGTTTCATAAACAGTGGCGGCGTAAAGGGGGCGGGGCTGTGGGGCGGTCCGCCCCAGGTGCCAAATATGTCATAAGAGCGAGATTATCATATAGCTCATGACTTCGTTCTAACATCTGTCGCCTTCGAAACGCCCCGCTATTCCGTTATAATATGTATACCCAACGGACTTATGAGGGAGTGTCGCCCCGGGTGCCAACCTATGCTACGCCGCCACTGTTCATAAACCCAAAAAAGCATGAACCTTATGTGTTAGTAAAAAAATAAATGTAATGGACAAAACAAATTGTAAACAAGTCGGCTGATCACTCCCATCTTGCCTTCCAGGTAAGATTTTGGAAAGAAAAATGAAAAAAATGGATGAATGTTGAATAAAAAATTTGTCACCTATAAAAGCCCACAATTTTTCGCCTAATTTATTATGCATTTGGCTAAAATAGATACTTAATGTAATTTATTACCGTATCGTGTGAACGTTAAACATTTATTTATGATATAAAGTTTATATTATAAACGATATTAACTCATGACATTTTTTATTCATTCGTCGACCTCCACCGTCGCCCTAACATGAAAAGCCAGGGAACAAACAGATAACAATAATTATTTAATTTTTAGCGGTAAGAGTCGCATCTCAAACTAAGATTTTTTCAAGTTATTTATAATTTTCAAGATAACAATAATATTATAAATTTTAATCTACTATACTAATATTATAAAGAGGAAAGATTTGTACTTTACAGTATTATTGTTCATAATCCAGAATAACATATAGGCTATAATTTATGACGATCTGCGACAAACGAAATTTCACGCGGGCGAAGCCGCGGGCGGAAAGCTAGTAAAAAAATAAGAGTGTACCTTTATTAGCGTCACACGTGCGGCAGCGCGGCGGCCAGCGCGCGGCGCAGCGCCTGGCGCACGTCGGCGCGGCCCTCGCAGAACACGTGCGTGGCGTGCCGCTCCACGTGCAACAGCGTGTCGTGCCGCGGCAGGTGCACGATGCAGCTGTCCGCGCCCGCCTCCGCCGCGCCCCCGGCGCCCCCAGCGCCGCCCTCTGTGCACGATCAAATATTTTTATTTTGGATCCACCTCTCAATGACGGCGACAGAATCGACAGCGGAAAAACTTCTCGGGATGTCGCTTTGAAAATCGACACTCGTCACTCGTCTCGGCTATGTTCAACGCCATTTCTGTCGCTCATCGATCGGACACCTTCGTAACGCACTCGCCCGACCGCCACGAAAGGGGGCTTATTCCACTATTCCCCGTTGACAATCCCCTTAAACGGGATTAGTGAACTTTTTGTTCACTATTCCCCATTAACGTTAAATTAAAACTTATAATGGGGAATAATGAACTTTTTAGTTCATCAATCCCCATTACGTTCAAAATAAAATCCTAATAATGAACTAAAAAGTTCATTATTCTCCGTTATAAGCTCCAATTGGCGTTAACGGGGATTAAAAAAATCACTTATCCCCGTTGACGGGGATTGTCAACGGGGAATAGTGGAATAAGCCCGAAAGGTCCCGAAAGGAATCCGGAGACCGTTCGGGGGCCGGGCGTACACACGCACCTGCGGCGGCGCCGCGCTCCACGCGCGCGTCCGTGATGCCCTCCCTCGCCAGCGCGCGCACCAGCGCGTCCACGTCCAGCGAGCCCCAGTGCAGCCGCGGCAGCGCCTCGGCCGGCCCGGCGCCCGGCGGCGGCGGCGCCGGCAGCAGCTCCAGGCGGCTGTCGCGCAGCTCCAGCGCGCAGGAAAGCGGCGCCAAGCGCAGCGCGCGCTCCTCGCNGCGCCCGCCAGCGCGCCGCCCAGCACCGCGCGCGCCGAGCGTCGCCGCACGCCGCACGCGCGCGCCGCGCCGCGCCGCACCACCACCGTCGGCACGTCCGCGCTGATGTGCGCCCTGCCCGTAGTCGCCGAACAAAGTCAAAGTTTCTTTATTTGTTTAGACTAATAAATAGTTCTTACAACGAACGTTTTTATAAAGGCCTATTCAGACCTAAGCGGTATTCGCTACCGTCTGCGGCAGAGAAAACCCAGTGGCTATGCGGTAATAATACTGTTCAGACCTAAACGGTATTCGCTACAGTCTGCCATGTACCTCTACCCACAGCGGCAGCGAATATCGCTCAGGTTTGAATAGGCCTTAAGTCGATTAAAAACGTTCGCACCGTTAGTGACGCTGTCGATGTGCACAATGAATAGAACGAAACGAAAATCGGTAGTTAAGATTACCACTGTCACGGGATTTTTTGCCACAAAAACACATAAATAACAATAATAAATCCCGTCACAGTGATAATTTTATAGTAAAAATGTAACATAATAGTTTATCGGAAGTGAAGGGTGTGGACCTGGGCGCCTGGTGGTGGTGCGGCGGCGCGTACTGGTCGGGCAGCGCCAGCTCGCGCGGCCGCAGCTCGCGCACCAGCTTGTTGGCCTGCGAGTAGTTGAGCGACGTGTCGATGGGGCAGTGGAAGGCCTTCATGCTGAGCGGCTGGAAGGGCGCCAGCGCCTCCGCGTGCGGGAAGTCCGGCTCCGTGAAGATGATGGCGTGCGCCGGGTTGCCGGCCCACAGCTCCACCAGGTGCACGGCGGCGCCGAAGCGCAGGCTCGGGTGCCCGCAGAACACCACGCACGGCTGCGAGCAAACACTTCAATGAGAGCTATCGATTTTATACTTAACAGTTGGCACCCCTGGCGATTGACTTTTCTTTTTTATTATTTTCTATAATAATTTTGACGTTCATAAGTGCCACTTGTGGTCTAAACTGAATAAATACTTTTGATTTTGATTTTGACAGGACCTTACTCTACAGTGGCGCCATCTTGACGAGTGCAAATGCGATAGTCCTCCTACCACTTTCGCGCTCACCAGTTGGTGTCACTGTCTTGACACAAAAAAAAAAAAGAAAAACACAAAAATGAAGCGAAGCGGGTTCGATTCCTGCAAAAGGTTTCGACTTCGCCGACGGTCACGTCGGACGACGAACCTTTCTTAGAAATGAAGTCCCGTTTCGGTTCCGATTTCTAATTGGAGCTTACATATAACGTTAAAAATAAAATCCTAATATAACGGGGATTGTCAACGGGGAATAGTGGAATAAGCCACCGCTCACCTGGCGGAACTCGCCGCTGAAGGCGTCGTCGTGCAGGTGTCGCGCGTGGCGCAGGCGGCCGGCGCGCGCGAGCGCCGCGTGCGGGAAGGGCTCCTCGGGCAGGTACACGCGCGCCTGCTTGCCCGCCGACACCCACTCGGCCAGGATGTTGCTGTAGGCCAGCGACGAGTCCGCCACCGGCGACACCACGTACAGCGGCACGTGCTGCAGCCCGGCCGACTCCAGGTGCGCGCTCAGGCACTCCAGCAGGTCGTACAGCACGCCGCTGGGGTACACGGGGCACAGCACGCAGCCGCCGCCGCGCAGCGTGACGGCCGCGTGCACGCACAGGTCGCCCAGCATGTGGTCGGGGTTGTGCGCCGGCGTCTGCGTCAGCGCCGCCAGCACCAGCAGGTCGGCGCCGCGCAGCGCCGCCTGGTTGATGGGCCGCGGGTGCGTCGTCAGCGTGGACGAGCCGCTCACGTACGCCACCTTCTCGCGCGCCGAGCGCAGCACCCAGTTGGCCGAGCCCAGGCAGAAGCCCGAGCTGACGGCGGTCGCGTCCAGCGCGCCGTAGATGTCCACCTTCTCGTCGTAGCCGACCACCTTGAAACACAAAACCAAAAGTCAAGAGGCGGCACCACCGGGTGCGATGAGGGATTTACGCGGGCGGCTAACTTCTCACCTGCGCGGCAGGTCTCGTCAACTCGGCGGGCCTGTCGCAACCCGAAACCCACAATTGAGTGGGCCGGGGGCCGTCGAGGCATTTGCCCGGGCCACAATGCATAAACAACTGGAGGAGGGGATTGGGGGTTCCCTCGAAATCGGAGAGGCTCGTGAGCGAGCCTCTAGCTCAATCTTTCCCAAAGTGGGCGATAACGCCCCCTTGTGGGCGCTGCAGGCTTAAAGGGGGGCGGTAAGTGACCCAGAAAAACAAAATCGGGACATTGTGTACAGGCTTGGGAGGCGTCATTTACTAGGAGGACTCTTAGATACCAACTGAGCACTCGACACTCGACTACAAATGGGGGCGCTAAAAAGAATTTATTCTCAAAGTGGGCAGTAGACAAAATAAGTTTGGGAACCGCTGCTCTAGCCTGAGGCGGAGCTGCGGACGAACGTCTGAGCTAGGACAATAACTCGCGGCTCCGTTTCTTTGGGCTCCAGTGGGCAGGCGGGGAGATTCCCACATAATCCACTGGCCGTCCCCGTCCCAGTGGGTATGCGCAAAGCATCGCCCGACGTAAAAAAATTAGAACACTCACCCGCACTCGCGCCAGCGAGCGCGCCACGGCGGCGGGCGCGAACAGGCGGCGCCACGAGCGCGGGCGCGCGGCCAGCGACAGCGGCGGCGGCAGCACGTGCAGCAGCTCCTTCCAGCGCCGCGCCGCGCCGCCCGCGCCCCCCGCGCCGCCCGCGCCCGACACCCACTCCGCCAGCTCCTCCAGGTAGAACCTGTGCCGA